GAGTCCATATACCGACTCGGCGAGTCCACCACTTAAAATCCGTATACGATAAGGACTCTTATTTGTTCGCGAATCTTTGAGCCTACTCGGCGAGTAGGCGCCCAACTCGCCGAGTTCTTCAGGGTTTTTCTTTCTTTTCTTTCTTTCTTCAATTCCCGAGCTTCCCATCGCTTTTTCTGCTTCCTTTTGCTTCCGAGCTCATCTTTTAGGCTACAAATACATTTTAAACATATTTAAGTACCTTTTGTTCATAATTTGCAATAAAATAGCCAAAAAATATTAAGATTTAACACAAAATATATGACTAATTATGCACATATCAAAATACCCACACTTGACTTTTGCTTGCCCCCAAGCAAAACTCAATTTTAACATACTAGCATCACATAAGACAATCCCAATTGAACCCAGCCATTATGCCAAGACCGCAACGCATGCATTTGTGTCTAAAGTTTTTCCTAAGGACCCCCCTAATTCTAAATACTCATAATACTCATAAACACTCGCCCACTTCTTTTGAACAACGCTCATTTTATGCATCCCTCTGAATCTATCCGCAAAAAACTTCCTAACCTCAAGGTATTTTCGATACCACAATGGAGCTCTTTGGAATTCTTCACTTCTTTGATTATTTGATCTTGATTTCCTTGAATTCACCACCTTTTTAACTTTTGGTATCTTCAACTTTTTGAATTTCTTCAAAACTTTGATCTTTTGATCTTCACTTTAGTTGCTCCAAAATTCTTACAACTTTTCTTGTAATTCTCTCTCTCTTTTTTTACATGTAACTCAATTTTTTTCACTCAAAACCTACATGCTTAAGCAAGGGCACTCAACTTCAACCTTTATTAGTTAAAGTATTAGTCTTCCTGGATACATTTCAAGTACACGATGCTAAACATATTGCGATCCTCAAACTAAGCGAGGTTGTGTTTTTGTCCCATGATTTCACTAGAATAAAGGAAGCCACAAATGCATTATAACGTATATAGGCTCAACTAAACATTTGGGTTCTTCATAAAATCATCAAATACAATACTAGCATGATTCCTAATTGCTTTTACCAAAATTTCTAAATTAGCCCTAGCAATTGTAATGCAAAAATTTCAAAATTAACTAAAATTTTCAAGATTTTCGAAATTTAACTAAAACTTCAAGTAATGTAACCAACCCCTACCCCACACTTAATTTATGCAATGTCCGCATTGCATATTATGCATGATAAAGAATAATAAAATTAAAGAGAGAATTGGAACAAACTCCCCTGAGATAGTAGTGGCAAGGTTGATATTTCGTCATTAAGCTCCATCTTTAATTGACTTTAGACATGGGAACAGCTCATCCATGTCTTGGGAGTCAAAATCTCGTGTGGTACAGCTCCAATTATAAGAAAAACTCTTGGAAATGCTTGGAAAATGATCTCCAAAGAAAAGAACCAATGCCCGTATAAAATGTCATCAAATCATTGGCTTGAAAGTAGAATTAACGAGTGACTCGTCGAGTAGATATGCTAACTCGCTGAGTTGCAGCGTGACTGACAGAAAAATCACGAAATTTCACATGGACTTGTTGAGTCCATAAGATGCACTCGGCGAGTAGACCGCTGTGTGGAAAAATTTGTACTCTGCCCAGGTCCGTTTATGATGTATGGGGGTAATATAAACTAATACTTTCCCTCATTTTTGTTCAGTAAATAAATACTCTATAACCCTCTTCATCACCAGACTCAACCTTGGACTCGAAAACTCATTTTCTCTCTTGCCTAGACTCGACTTCTTGCTTGGTTAACCCTGACTCTATACTCTTTCACTTTACTCTTTTATCCGAATTCTGAAAATACCAAAGGCAAACATGCATAATAAAAAGGAAAAACAACCAATCCTAAAAATTACTAAATGTTCAAAACAACACAAAACAAATAAAACAAACCAAACAAAATGAAAAATGTCTTAAAAGCAACCACTAAATCAAATAAAAATAAAAGGATAAATCAATCTTCATCTCCCTCCTCATCATCACCAACACCGCTCCCTCCGGCTTCGCTTCGTATTTGGCTCAATCTCTCGTCCCAACTCCGTACATATGGATACTCGGGCACGGGTCTTCGTTCAAGATCCATTTGATCAAACAAATGAACAAATGAACCATGATAATAGTTCATGCTCCGACCAAGATCATCTTGCTACCTCCTTAACTCCACGTTGTACCAATCCATTGGTAGTTCATCATCCACCGGAATTACCGGTGGATCTTCTCGGACCAGATCATGCCATGGTCGGACTCGCCGAGTAGGGATACCTACTCGCCGAGTAGATGCGCGATTCTGCAAAATAGTCGGGATTTTTCAAATGGACTCGCCGAGTAAGAGTTCGGACTCGTCGAGTGTTTGAATCTGTGTAAAAATTTTGAAAAATTTTGTGCCTTTTAAATTTTATGCCACCATACCCCACACTCAAGCTTTGTTTGTCCTCAAGCAATCATTTTAAACAAAGAATATGATTAAGATTGACAAATCCTAAGAAAAACCAATAAAAGTCGAAAAATAAAATGAAAAAGAAAAGTAAAAAGAAAGCAAACTCTAAGATCGGGTTGCCTCCCGTAAGCGCTTCTTTTTTTGAGGAGTCATTAGCTGGACTCCTTCCCGCTCTACGTTTCAACGTTTTCCTATATCGGGAATTCCCGCTTAATCCTTTGGGCTTTATATTTTGTTTTGTAAGCATGGAATTTTCTCTTATATGCCTTCTTCAACTCCTCCTTTCTCCTTTTGGTATCATTTCCTTCAAATTTACGCTTCATCCCTCTACTATACTTCTTCTTCCTTTCTTCTGCCGTGTGCCCCATCGTGTTCATTCCTCCTTTATCTACCTCGATCGCCTTTTCAGTTATCATCTCAGCATCACTCAAGGTAACGACTTCTTCCTCACTTTCTTCATATGCTTGAGAATTCGGTGGTTTAAAAGTGAATACTTCAAAAGTAGTAAAAACTGAAGCGTGAGGTTTTGTTCTTGTGGTTAGCTTATCCCCTTTTTCTTCATGATTATTTGTGTGCAATCTAATGAGAGAGTTATGCTCCTTAGTTTCCAAGACTTTAGCATTCTTGTCATCCTCATTCTCATCAACTTGAATTTCTTCCTCATTTTTCAAATTCTTTTCATCAAGTGTTGAGTTTATTTCTTCAAAGTTGTCCTCAACTCCTTCAAGTAACCTTTCCAATTCCCTTAAATCGCTTTGAGCATCAAACTCTTCATCCAAAGAATATTGTTTTGATTTATCTTCTTCTAAAAGTGCTAACTCTTTCTCTATCAATTCATCACCCAATTCCATTGATGAAGTCTTATCTTCAATCGATTTTTCATGCTCCTTTTCTTGATCAGTTACAAAAGTAACCGAATCATCCCCCACCCTAAGTGTAAGTGTTTATTCCTGCATATCAACTATGGCACATGCGGTATTCAAAAATGGTCTTCCAAGGATGATCGGAATCTTGGGGTCTTCTTCTATGTCCAAAAATACGAAGTCCGCAGGGAACACCAACTTATCCACCTTTATTAGAAGGTCTTCACAAACTCCTTTCGGATGGATCACCGTTTTATGAGCTAAATGGATGGTCATGTGGATAGGTTTAAGTTCTGAAAGGTTAAACTTTTTGAATAAAGAGTAGGGCCTAATATTGATACTAGCCCCTGAATAAGCTAATGCTTGAGTAGTAACCAAATTCCCAAATTGGCAGGGTATAGTGATGCTTCTCGGATCACCCATCTTTTCTGGAAGTTCGTCTAACACTATTTCTGATACTTCTTCCATGTTCTTTCTATTTGTGAGGAGCTCTTTAAGCAAGGATGCATATTTTGGCGTGTGAAGGAGTGTTTCAAAAAATGGATTGTTCACTTGAAGTGTCCTTAGATGATCCATGATCTTCTTACACTCTAGAATCTGCTTACTCTGAATAGCTCGGTCTGGGAATGGTAATCGTGGATGATATGGCTTTAGATAAGAAGTATTTTTGCTGGCAGGCTGCAGAATTGTCGAGTCCATGTTATGTACTCGTCGATTCGATCTCACAGTTTGCGATTCCGGACTTGTTTCTTCATTTTCA